GGTGTGGGGGGGGGGGGGGGGGGGGGGGCTATAGGGATGTTCTCACCAGCAAATCTTACCTGACTCCCGATAAAATAAAACAGGTGAGTCTTCCGGGCCTCTACTTCCCTCGCTATGCTTACTAAATAACCAAAGTGTGAGCTAAAAAATAATTCCACTACCCGTTACTGATTAGAAAAAAAATTAAAAAAAATAACAACAAAGAACACTAAATACCAGATTACTCAAAGAATCAACAAATGCAAAAAAACAAAACAAATTAAACTATAACAAAATAGACTGAATGGCTCCAGGAAAGCAAAGAGAGAGGCAACCGTGACGAACAATTAGAATAAGAGAGAGAGACACGCCATTGTCACCACCAACGCCTATTTATCAGGAATCCCAGATGATGTCACACAGCTCCCACGAGTTAAAAATTCCCTCTTAACGCCACTTAGGGACTCAGAATAAAAGTTACACAGATGCACGTAACAGTTAATAACCACTCCATGTTTGTTCTTAGATCTTTGCAGAATTCAGTTGCATATCTTGGATCTGAGTTCTACGCAGCATTGGACAAGTTGATTAAAAGGTATTCCTTTATCATGTTGACTGCTGTCATCTTTAAATTATGATTAGCATATGATTGATACTCTCAGCATATAAGGGACTATGGATGAAAATTAGCCAATTTGGATAAATCTGACACATGTTTTTACATGTTACAACATTTTACATGTTGTGTGTATTATTAATGTGTATTGTACCTTACTAAATAAATAAATAAACAAATAAATAAATAAATAAATAGTCTCTTCTTTTTCATAGCCATCTGATGTTTACACCGTGGTATTTCAGGGTCTTCCAGTCATCTTGGAGGATGACCCAGAGGAATTTTACAGGATGTGCTTTGTAAGTATTGTTATTGATGTTTCTGCTCTTATTATCATCATTTTGTTTGCAATTTTGCAGTAGATACTATATTTGTCTCGTGAAACAATTCAGATTTTTGAAATTGTTGATTTAAATGCATTGATAAAATTGTGTTGACTGATCACAAACTTGTCAGCATTACACACTTTACACACTTTGAATTAAGATAAAATCATGTAAATGATGGGTGTAATCCATCACTCTATGTCAAAGAAGATGATGCTCTCTAAAATCTAAATGGTAGGTCATACAGTACAAATAGCATATTGTAAAAAAAAATGTTCTCTACATTTACTTCTATGATGTTAATAATTGAGAACAATGTACAAGTACAATAACATATTCCATTGAACTTGTGTGTAATATTACAAGTCTTCTGAAGGCATGCAGTAGGCCCACAAAACTGAATTTAAAGGAATAATTCAAGCAAAAATGATAAAACACCTTTATGCTCTGTCTTCTGAAATGTGTTCTATTTTGTAACTCTTATACTATAAATCTCATTATCTCTCTTTGGTGATCATAATTTAAAGCTTGATTACATTTCTTTGTGCATGATGTTTGTGCAGATCACTGTACACTCACTCTGATCATCAATATGAATCAAGCACAAAGAAGTTGCTTAAAGTAAAAGCATTTTTGTAAAGTAAAAGCATTTTGTAAAGTAAAAGCATTTTTGACAACTGCCCTTGGTCACTGTATTTTTTTTTTAGAATGTTTCCAGTATTGGAATGAAGAAGAAATTCACATTGTGTCTGCATCTATAACCTTGTGGTTAGTGCGTCGAAATATGGCGACCCGAGTTTAATTCCCATATCAAGGTCCTTTGCCGATCCCCTTCCCCTCTTTCCACTCAGTAGTTGGCTGTCATCGCTCAACTGTCCTTTCCCAATAAAGGCATAAATAGCCCATAAATATAACTGGAAAAAAAAGAGAAATAAATTCACATTGTGCCTATTTTTCTTTCTCTACTTAGGATGTTGATGTAGATGCAGACTTCAGTGAAGTAGATGTAGGCCTGCTCACAGTTTTACCAGAAGATATGCCCTCATTGCGGACACAATAAAGGCAATCATGTTGGAGGGAAGAATTGTCATGGATGGGTTGTAAAGGCCTGTCTTTTTATTTTGCTGTTCTGTTTGCATACAGTTCTGAGAATGCTCTGTATTTTTAATTTTTTTAATTTTTTTACAGTGCTCCAGTAGGTCCAGATAATGTTATGAGAGCAAAGTGCTGTTTAGTCAAGAGGTCTGTAAAAAGTCTTATAAGTACTCAGATGTTTTAAAAGCATAGTTTTATTATTGTGATATACTTTTAAGTTTTCTAGTGTTTTTTTTTTTTTTTTTTTTTTACAAAAATAAACTGTTGAGAATTTCAAACTTGTGTAATTGTGTTCCATGCTGGTTGAACTGCTAAACATATGTTCACTTTACTTGAAGAAAATGTGGAAGTCCCCATATCTTAAAATAGCAGATTAAACCCATGTTGAGAATAACAGCATTTAAGATGTTTGCAGAACACAAAATAACACTGTTAGATAAATGTAATTAATAAAGTACTCTTACTATTATATCTTAAGTAGATTAGTAAATATTCTCGAGTATTTTAACTAGAATTGACATTAAACTTGATATTTTTTTTACTTAATTTACTTGTGAAGTGTTTGCTTTCTTTGTTTTACCTTTAAATTTGCTTTCCAAAAATAAAGCAATCTTTTCCAAACTTTTTTTTTAAGTAAACTGAACTTGTTAGAATTTACAGTGTATCTGTACCATGTATCTGTCTATTCATCCATCTCTGTGCCTTTGTATTTCTATCCATTTGTTTGTCTATTTTAATATTTTCTCTCTCATATCAACGCTAAATTATCAGCAGCCATTACTCCAGTCATAGGCGCCGATCCCGTGCATGCCCGAGCACCCACGGAAAAATGCCAGATATGCGCCATTAATTTGAACCAAGTTATAGCTTAGTGGGTGTGCATAGTATTTCTTATAGAAGCTGTCGATATGCTTCTTTAATATTTTCTCTCTCATATCAACGCTAAATTATCAGCAGCCATTACTCCAGTCATAGGCGCCGATCCCGTGCATGCCCGAGCACCCACGGAAAAATGGCAGATATGCGCCATTAATTTGAACCAAGTTATAGCTTAGTGGGTGTGCATAGTATTTCTTATAGAAGCTGTCGATATGCTTAATTTAAATTTCTTGTGATTAAGCTCAGTTTTTGTAACTGAAGATATGGAGAAATGTGAAAAAAATATGTGTTTCTAGCCAGTCGTAATTTAAAGCTTAGTATACATAACATTTTTCTTAGAAGTTGTCAATATGTTTTATAAGATTTTTTGAAAAATGAAAAGGTGTAGGTGTTTCTAATTAAACTGCAGGTTAATGTAGCTCCCATTTGGCGCCTACAGGAGTTTGCCTATATGGGTTAGTGATGGGACCCAGCTAGGCCTTATGTAGGTCTCTTATGGGCCACAACAGGTATACATATGGGCTAATATATTTGTCTGTTTGGGTTACCTTATTTTACAGTAAACCCCTAAATACAAACATTACATTTAATCCACTAAAATCCACTAAAATGCTAAAGGTATTCGATGAACAGAAACCAGTAGTTCATGCTTTTAAGCAAAGTTTATTTGGAATAATTTGAACATGACTATTATAACTTGTACATTTACAACTTTATAAAACATAAGTATCTAAACAAAAAGTTAATGTTAAGCTCCTGACAAAATTTATTTGGCATAACTTGTATTCTTCATGCTTTACTTTATTAAACAAGGTTTTGTTGGAATAATTTGAACATGACTTAAAACTGGTACATTTACAACTTTATAAAACACAAGTATCTTAAAAAAAGTTAAAGTGAAGCTCCTGACAAACATTATTTGGCATAACTTGTACCTGGTCAGTTAGATTCATGTGAATTTATTGCATCTAGCTCCATTTCTGTAACTGAAGAACTGAAAAAGCGTAAGTTTGTCATGCCAATCGTAAGTGAACATGCGTGCAATATTTACAGAAGCTGTCAATAAGTTTTCTATGAATTTCTTGTGTAGGCCCTATATATCCCGTTGTAGATCCTGAGCAAGATGAATTGTTCGTTGTGAGTTTGATCAAATGTTTTAAGTTATAATTTGCTTATGGCAAGTTGGGGAAAAAAATCTATGCTGACATATGCATGTGTGCTTTCGGTGGTGGCTCGGCATGGTGCGGTGTGGGGAGGGGGTGTTGGGGTGTCAGTGTGCCGAGCACCCACCGGCAGAAAAAGAAATCGGCGCCTATGACTCCAGTCTTCAGTGTACCTAATCTTTCAGAAATTCTAATATGTTTTTGGGTAATCAAGAGACATTATTATCACAGCCAGGCCCGTTTCTAGGCATAGGAAAGCTAGGCGGTCTCGTGGGGTGCCACCAGCAGGAGGGGGCGCCAGTGAGCGCAAGTACTTGCACTACATTTTAGCAAGGTTGTGATAAAGAGTGGCACGGCCACCCTGAAATATGATTGCCACCCCCACTGGATCCACCAACATCATTGAGCTAGAGTACTGTCAATCTGACGATGCCTGTATTCCATTGGATCAAAGCACTGTCAATTGCTGCCAGATTGTTGCATGCAAAATTTGCATTTGGAGCGCTCAACAACACCGTTAGATAAATGGGTTCTGCTTTGGCAAGGTTAACGATTTTTTATTATTATTATTTTTTTTTTGCCATGCTATAAAGCCAAGTTCAAAGGCCAGTTTAAAATATTGGTGCAAGTAAAAAGTGCACAAAATCAGTTTTGTTATTATTATAATTATTATAATTTTGTTAGGGGGAGTATTTGTGGCAGTTGAGAAATCATGCTGCAAAGCTGGTCCAAAAGGTGCGCCAATGCATTGTTAAAGGATCAGTGTGTTGTGTAATAGTCCCATATAAAACTTTAATGGCCAATTAAAAAAATATTGGTATAGTAAAATTCGCTAATTCACAAGATCAATTCATACATTATTAAACCTTTGTCGAATTTAATGCATCCTTACGGAAGTGTTTAAATGCAGAATCAATTCAATCACTTATTACAGCGCTTAATGGGAGCAGCGTCATACACATAGAGGGCAGAGCATCGCGTCATTTAAAGGGGAAGTTCACGCGTCAATGAGTAACAAAGGAATAAGTAGCTGCATTCTGATTCATTCACTTATTACAGCGCTTAATTGGAGCAGCGTCATACACATAGAGGGCAGAGTGTCGCGTCATTTAAAGGGGAAGTTCACGCGTCAATGAGTAACAAAGGAATAAGTAGCTGCATTCTGATTACTTTTATGTGACTGATCAAGCTTTTATATGTAGTTTGGGGTTACAAAGGGTTTTATAGGTTTGACTGAAATAATAATGCAAAAACTGACACTTTAAATCAATGTTTCTAACAACAACAAAATAACTAAACAAAATCGCCAATAGAGATTTCGCCTAAGGCGTCAAAATAGCTAGAAACGGCCCTGACCCTTGTGTCAAAATAGCTAGAAACGGCCCTGATCACAGCAGAAAATGGTTCTGCTGCTTAATGAAGTGTGGAAACTGTGACACAGTATGTATACACAATTTATACCACGTGCAAAAAAGAAATAAATAAACAAAAATTTTTTTCTGTGAGTGCTTGAGCACCTGCCCCTTTTCCCCTTGGTGCCCAAAGTGCCCTTTTGTTAAGGCCTGCCCAATCTAACTATTAGTAATATTAATGAAAAATAATTTAGCTGTAAATAAAATGATCCACATGATGACCTTTCACCTGACGATCTCATCGGGACGATCCCTCACGTTAGTAACAAAGCCACTAGAAGGCCAGTCTGAAACCTTTAGCCAAAAAAGCGTAATGGCTAATGCTAACGCTTCCGCTTTGGCAGTACGTGGGAAAGGAGACCTGAGGCCATTTTTTTTAAATGGATGTCAATGGAGTAGAGGCTGCACTACGTTGAATAAACAGCTTTTTAGAGGAAACAGCTTATCATTTAATGAATCGACTGCCTATCAGGCTAATTTTCAACATGTTTTACAGGAAACAATAGTTTTGGATTTAACTATTTTTCGAGTTTATATCGGAAAAAAATGCCATTTTATAAGTGAAGTCACTGACTTTTTTCGATTCAGCTTCTCATTCATTCCTATGGTATCCGTAAAGGGCGATTGAGTGTCGCACAACTTTGACTGAAATTCAATGACGTCAAGGCTGTAATGTGATTGGTTATTAAGGCACACATGATCCAAGTTGACCATTATGCTTTCTCCAATAATAAGTAACACAGACCCTTGTATCTCCTAATAGTAAGACAATCTCTGTTAGTAATTTAGCGCACTACGAGGATACCTTCAATAACGTCTGCGGCTGCCGGTAAGTGGAGTTCTCAGCAGAGCGGTGTGCTTGTATACTTATATTATCAAATTATTATTATTTTACAAGAACGATGTGAAGAGAGTATGGACAGCTGTTTATATTGCTGTGTGTAGCCTGTGGAAGTAACGTTAGCTGCAGCAAGGGGCTATAATATTTTTGTTCGATATTTTCCTAATGATTGGTTTATAAAGGCTACTACTACAAGGCAGGACATATATTTTATAGTTTCTATATTAAATGATATGTCAATCAGTACTGCATTATTCATATAGTTTATTTATTTATTACCTGGAGATAACTTGAAAAACACACATAAACCATATTTTCACAATCGTGTGTTTATTGTCCTTTAAACAGCTCAGCTACAGCGATAGCCTGATGCTTTTGTCCATATTAGGGATTTCCTGCACGTCATAAGTTATTACTTCTCTGAGTCCGGTTTGGACTTTCTGCACGAGAGCACACTCCGGCTTTGAGTATGAATGAAACACACACTGCATGAGAGTTTTCAGCGCTCATGATATTCACATCTCCTCATTTTGGATACGGATAAAACGTCAGGTCATGCATAGACTATCGATACTGTCTCTCTGAATTTAAATACAGAAACCTCTACATGAACTCACCTGCCTGATATTTATTAAATATAA